ACTGACTCAGAAATTGTGCTGATGGTTGTAAATCCACAGCAGCAAGCCAGTGGAGGAGTAAGCAGTGATGAAAATGAGGAAGATGTAGCAGTCTCTCTATTGATAGAGACTCTGCTACATCTTCCTACATGGATTAATTTTGGCCTGTGTAGGTTTCAATTTGCATTTTTTTTTTTTTTTTTGAAAGACTGGAAAAATTGAAAAGTAATGCTTTTCATGCTATAATTTCTGAGTGTCCCATTTGATTAGCTTCAACCCTTCTGCGCTGATTACTTGATAGCACAACATTTGACTGGATATTTTAGGATATTGGTTGCTCTGGTTCCTCTGAAAGATTTGAAATTTGGATATTAGTTTTCATATAATGACTTGTGAATTTCTCTTTATTATTCCAGCCACATACATTGAGGTATAGGAACTGGTTAGGGAATATAGGGATACCTTCCTTGGCTCGCACAATGACAGAAATATATTCATTTGTATTAATCTTTTATATCAGTACAGTGGACCCCCGCATAACGATTACCTCCGAATGCGACCAATTATGTAAGTGTATTTATGTAAGTGCGTTTGTATGTGTATGTTTGGGGGTCTGAAATGGACTAATCTACTTCACAATATTTCTTATGGGAACAAATTCGGTCAGTACTGGCACCTGAACATACTTCTGGAGTGAAAAAATATCGTTAACCGGGGGTCCACTGTACTATATTGTGGAAGCTGCAACTTATTGAATACACCAAGAAGCCCTTCAGTTACAAGTCACTTGAAGTCATTCTTGAGAACATGAGGAGGCCGTCACAATATAGAACACGTTGTCTGGCTGGAGCACCGGCCTTTGTCAGGTTCCTTCCCCCACCCCCTTGGCTTATCTGTGAATCTTCCACTCCTCACAAGCATCCTCAAAAATGGCATCTTCTCATTTAAAGGATTTTTACTCAAATACATGGATATATTTAAGATTCATGTACTGCATTATGGTATGAACTCAGTATTGTGTTCATACAGTAATGCATATGAGATACAAAATTTGTATCTTGAGGAAATCACAGATTCAGACATACATAGTTGGTTTATTTAGCACTTGATATTTTAGACAAATTGTGTAAATAGTGATAATAATAATTAATTAAGCAGATATTTGTGGAAGAGAGATGGAAAAAATAAAATACAGAACTGATTAGACATAGTAATGGAACATGGGAGTTTGACAAAACTTTCTGTGAGTATTGATCAGGGTTTCTCAGAAGCTGGTGTATTGTCAAGAGAAGGTTGGTGGGTAGTGCTTTTGTGTGAGGGAGAGGCAGGGCCTGTTTTGCAATTGAATCTTGTTGGATGACTTATTTTAATTAATGTACAGTACAGTGGACCCCCGCATAACGATTACCTCCGAATGTGACCAATTATGTAAGTGTATTTATGTAAGTGCGTTTGTACGTGTATGTTTGGGGGTCTGAAATGGACTAATCTACTTCACAATATTTCTTATGGGAACAAATTCGGTCAGTACTGGCACCTGAATATACTTCTGGAGTGAAAAAATATCGTTAACCGGGGGTCCACTGTATTAATAATGCAGGAACTCTGCCTGGCATGATTGAGGGGATAGGGAGGGGGGATCCCCCCAGAAGGGCATGTGATTGATTGAATCATCACCCAAACACTTATCAGCCAGTAGTGTGATTTGAGCAGAGCTGCATGTGTGTACTGTACGGTGAAACCTTAATTTAATGGATTAATTGGGGGCCAGGAGGGGGGTGTTCATTAATGCTGATCATAATAATAATGAACAAGTCTGGGTTTAATGGACTTTGGTCATTGAATCCAAAACGAATTTACCCAGCTGACCATAAGATTAATGGACAATTCTGGATTTAACATACACTGTACATTATTTTGAAATGTTACCCAGCCACAGATTTTCTGTTAAACCTGAAATCTGTTAAACCAAGTTTTACTAGGTGTTAAAATTTAGGTAAAGGATAAAGTACTTTTTTCCCTAAAATTTGCTTATCCCTATTTGTCAGTAGTATTTACCCGATATCCCATCCTATTTTTCTGTTTTACTATAGTATTTGCCTTCAATATACGTATTTCATTTTTTTTGGGTGAGGGAGGGGGCTTTTGCTTTTTCAGTAGTGTTATGCAGCAGCAACAGCAGCAGCAGCAGCAGCAGCCGCCGCGGCCGCCGCCGCCGCCGCCGCCGCCGCCGCCGCCGCCGCCGCCGCCGCCGCCGCCGCCGCCGCCGCCGCCGCCGCCGCCGCCGCCGCCGCCGCTGCTCCCTCACCCAAAAAAAATGAAATACGTATATTGAAGGCAAATACTAGAGTAAAACAGAAAAATAGGATGGGATATCGGGTAAATACTACTGACAAAACATTTGGAAAAATTAATAAAAATATCTGCTGGTGGTGGTAATACTAATATGTAATAATAATAATATTGTCAGCATGATAAGTGTTTATACAGAGGTTGATGACATTTAGTTGTGAATGCAGAAAGCCCATATTTAAGTAGATCATTTTGGACAATATGGCAAGGGAGGAGACAGATTGCTGCTTGTTGCTGAGGGGGGTTGTTGTTGTGCCACTGTCATAACCTTTATTATTTTTTCAAGAAAAGATGGGTAGGCAGGAGTCACTTCTGTATATCACTAATTCTTAGATTTTACATTGATTGAATTTTTGCAGCTTATTGAATTATTATATTGTTGATGCAATAGAATGGAATTTGCATTTGATGGTAAAGTTTTTACAGAAGACCCCTGGTTTACGATATTTCATTCCAGAAGTATGTTCAGGTGCCAGTACTGAACGAATTTGTTCCCATAAGGTATATTGTGAATTAGATTAGTCAATTTCAGACCCACAAACATACACGTACAAACGCACTTACATAAATACACTTACATAATTGGTCGCATTGGGAGCTGATCATAAAGCAGGGGTCCACCGTACTTCGTTATTCTTCAAACCTAAACGGTCAAACCCGATAAACGTTGCACTACCGTACTGCCCAACTTTTTTGAAGAAAATAATTAATGAAATTTTTTAAAGAAAAAAAGCAGCATATGTACCCACCCCCATTACTATATGTGTCACAGAGGCTCACAACCATTCCCAGTCCAGGTGATCAGGCTTCTCCAAGTTAAATTTAGGACACACCAAACTCATATAACGTTCGGGCACTACGGAATATATATTATACGTTTTTGGACGTTTGGTTAAATAGGAAAAAAGGCCAGGATGGGCAACGTTTTGCTGTGGGAAAAGGTGAAATGACCTGCCTATTAGGGCCAACAGGCTGCTGCAGGTTCCTTTTGTTTACGTTCTTATGTATCCCAGTTTGGATCCCCAATTATTTTAAATAAGGATTGACAGTGAGTGCTCACACCCTTCTCAATGTCTAGCGACTAGTTATCATGAAATCTAAAATGTTGGACACCATAAATACGTATATTTAATGACATTTGGCCCTTAGGAAAACTTAAGAACGTACTTACAGAGCTCTGGGTAAATCTTTTGCAAAGGTCGGTTCTCAGCTGAGTCCTAGTGGCATTAAAGAAGAAGGGAAGTGACCCCAAAAAGTCTTTGCTACCGTCAAGTCCTAATGGAAGGGGATTCCCCTTCTAAACAGTAAGAAGATAATGCTCTCCCCTCCTCCCATCCATCAATCATCACCAGATCTTCAATAAAAGTAAGTGTCATGTAATTGTGCATGCCTTTTTCAGTTTGTGTGTATTAAAATTAACATTTCATGTGGTAAAAAAAAATTTTTTTCATACTTTTGGGCGTCTTGCACGGATTAATTTTATTTCCATTATTTCTTATGGGGAAAATTCATTCGCATAACGATTATTTCGCATAACGATGAGCCCTCTTGCACGGATTAAAATCGTTAACCGGGGGTCCACTGTATACGTTCACTACCGTACTGCCCCAACTTTTTTGAGAAAAAAAAAAATTGTTGTTTTTTAATAGGAAAAAAAGAGCATATGGTACCCAGGCATCCCCAATTATTTTAATATGGTGCACAGTGAGTGCTCACAACCATTCTCACATGTCTAGGTGACTCAGGCTTATCATGGCAATGTTAAATGTAGGACACACAAAACGTATATATACGTTTGGGGCACTAGCGGTAAAAACATATATATACGTTTGGACCGTTTACGGGTTAATAGGAAAAAAGAGCATATGGGTTGGGCAAATGTTTTGCTAGTGGGATGAATTGTAAAGGACCTGCCTAGTATGGGCCAACAGGCCTGCTGCAGTGTTCCTTTTTTCTTATGTTCTTATGTACCCAGGCATCCCCAATTATTTTAATATGGTGCACAGTGAGTGCTCACACCCATTCTCACATGTCTAGGCGACTCAGGCTTATCATGGCAATGTTAAATGTAGGACACATAAAACGTATATATACGTTTGGGGCACTAGCGGTAAAAACGTATACTATATACTTTTGGACCATTCATGGGTTAAAGATACAGTTTAACCTCAAAATATGCTGGGTTACTCCCCTATAGATCCCTATGCATTCAGAATTAACGAGTGCCACTAAATTCTTTTCATGTGCCGGTAATAAATTTTATTTCAGATCTGGGCACTTTGCTTTTTCCTCATTCATATTGAAATTTGTAAGAACACACAGTTTATGAAGAAAAGAAATTTGGGTATGATATTGGAAATATAGTGAGGATATATTGAACAAAATCTTGTACATCTGCTGCTGGTTTTCAATTTATTATGGACAAACGTAAAACAAAATGGGCATTACAGTAATATACAAACATGATAAATGAAACTATTCGATGAAGTTCTTTCAGTAAAAGCTTTGGTTAATCAGAATACTTAAAAAAAAAAAAAATCATGTGACTGTAACAGTGAGCACAGGCAGGATATTGTTCATCACCAATTCATGATCTTTAGATTAGGCATAAAAGTTTTATAGATCCATTGTTAATGCACCATCCCAGTTCTTCCTTAACTTGTGTTCAGTTATGGCACACCAGGAGTAGAATTGTATGGTCAAAATGAAAACAGTGAATCAGCAATCAATCATCTCACTTTTCTACATGGACAGGTATGTTCCATAACATGACCTTCCTTTTTTCCAAGTGATTTACAATTCCTCTATGCAAAAATTGGTAAAAAAAATTTGTGTGACAGTTTTGATTTCCTGTTCTGTACCTTGTCCCTGTTAATAAATTTGAAATTACAATATTTGAAATGAAAATGCAAAGAAGCATCACATTTCTTTTTTTAAGTTTAATAGAAATTTACAGTGAAGTTTTGGCATGATATAATAATTAATATTTACTGCATTTGATATACAGTATGTTTTAAGCACTTCTACCATATAGTTCCTACTTACAAATCTTTTAATAAAAGGGGCAGATTTGCAACAAGGTAAAGTATTTCTTTAGTTTTAAGTATTTTTGACAATTTGCTATGATTGTCACATTGTAGAAAACAACATTTAACACTTAACAGTACAGTACATAAACTTGTTAAATAAGAGTGTGATTTATTTTGTGTGTAATAACCTTTCCCTGTGTGGTTGTGTGCGCTCTGTGAACAGTGTCGTCTAGTCTCACTGTGTGAGGACAACAGTCTCCACTTATGGCAGCTAAAGCAACTAGGAGACTCTGGTGGTATGCAACTTGTTCAAGCTAACTCTACATCCCTTGAGGGAAAGTAAGTTACAGCATATTGTTTCATAGTATGCTAAGGAAAAATATCCCATTTGATATAGATAAATATTGAAAAGTTTATTGTCTTAATTATTTATGATGCCATTAAAAGATAATTTAGTAATGTACGTACTGCAGTACTATTTAAAGGATTTCAGAAATATTGGACAAAATCGACCAAAAACAATTCTGTAAATGGCCTTGTCCGTTTACAGAATTGTCTGTTTTCATTATGATCCTTGCAAAACAGTCTCATTAAACAGGTTTGCAGGACAGTCTGCATTACCGGACACACACACCCTTTCTGTTGATCAGTTAAAAACTGTACAGTAATTTTTATCAGCACATTGTTTAATCTTTTAAAAGTGGAAAATGTGAAGGTACAGTATGTAATTTAAAAGGAATATCATAATTTAGAAAAGAAAAATACCATTACAGATAGATTTAAAATAATGTTGCTCTTTTTTAATCATGTAAATATATTTGTGTTACCAGTATAAGAATCAAACAAAGCATCAGAATCTATTGCACATTTTAGTGAAATAAAATGTCAAAAGTAAAAGGTGTTTTTGTTTTTTTTAACACATTGGCCATTTCCCACTTAGGCAGGGTGACCCAGAAAGAAAGAAAAGCACTTTCACCATCACTCGTACATAATAACTGTCTTTGCAGAGGCATTCAGATATGACAGTTTAGAAGTCCCTCCAAACTGCCAATATCCCTAGCCCCTCCTGAAAGTGCAGGCATTGTACTCCCCATTTCCAGGACTCGAGTCTGGCTAACCGGTTTTCCTGAGTCCCTTTACAAAATATTACCCTGCTCACACTCCAATAGCTCGTCAGGTCCCAAAAACCATTCATCTCCATTCACTGCTATCTAACATGCTCATGCATGCTTGCTGGAAGTCCAAACCCCTCACCCCACAAAACCTCCTTTACCCTCCTCCCTTCAACGTTTTTGAGAATGACCCCCTGCCCTGCCTTCTTTCCCCTACAGATTTATACGCTCTCCAAGTCATTCTACTTTTATCTATTCTCTCTTAATGACCAAACCACCTTAACAACCCCTCTGACTAATACTTTTAGGTGTATTACCTTAAAAAAATTGCCTTTTTTAAATTCAAGGACAGTACATACAGTCAAATCCTGGAATTTGCATGTTTTGTAATCTACATCATTTGGTTGTACTGTACAATTTTTTTTCCTGAAGAGCAGTTCATGAATAGCTTTGATTATTTGCAGATTTTCTTGGTGCCAATTGCCTTTTTTTTATTTTCTTGGTTGATAACTCCAAAATTGAGAACTAACCATTGAATTTTATTTGGAATGGATTCATTCTTTGTTGAATACCAGTATTCAACAGATTAGAGCAATATTTAACCCTTAAACGGTCCAAACGTATATATACGTTTTTTCAACATCTGAAAGTATGTAAAAAAAATGTAATCTTTTTTGTTTTACATTTGAAAACGTGTAAAAAAACTTTTATCTACATTATTTTTTTTTTTTACATTTGAAAATATGTAAAAAAAAGTAGATCTACTTTCGTAGCACTACGAATTTGAACGTCGATTTGTTTGGACCGTTTAAGGGTTAAAGATATACCATGTATAAAAAGTTGTTTAACCCTCTCAGGGTTTCCGACGTACTAGTACGGCTTGTGCACCAGGGTTATTGACGTACTAGAATGCCTAAATTCTAGCGCCTTCAAATCTAGTGAGAGAAAGCTGGTAGGCCTACATATGAAAAAATGGGTCTATGTGGTCAGTGTGCACAGTATAAAAAAATCCTGCAGCACACAGTGCATAATGAGAAAAAAAAACTGACCGTGTTTTTGGTTTAAAACACCGACTTTGCAGTGTATTTTCGTATGGTATTTATGGTTGTATTCTAGTTTTCCTGGTCTCATTTTATAGAATGGAAGATATATTACAGAAATTGAGATGATTTTGATTGGTTTCATAATGAAAAGTACCTTGAAATTGAGCTCAAAGTAGCAGAAATGTTAAATTTTTACCAAATTTCAAAAGTAAACAAATCATGCCAAGCATCCAATACACATCAACTGGTGAATCTGATATTCTTTCACAAGTGCACCAATATTATTTATACCATTTCTACACTAATGCAGTAGTCTGCATAACAGTAAAACTTCTGTTTTTTGCGAGAATAAAAATTCAAAGTGGAAAGCAAAAGAGATGTAAGAGGGGCCTGAGGACATGACTAATGAACAGAGAAAATGTTATTTTAGTGCCAGGAATGTCTGTCTTCTTTATTCTGGACCCTATTTGGAAATTTGCATTTTCTGAAATTTGTGTGAAATTGGCAAAATTGCCAATTTCTGACCACTTAATTGGATATTTGAAATCGGTAAATGGGTGGTTTCTTGTACTCATTCGATAGAAAAAATGGAGTTCTAGTGAAATAGATATGATTTTTGTCGACTAGTACACTGAAATTGGCCGAAAACAGGGCTCAAAGTGAGTGAAATCGCCGATGCGTCACCATCGTCGAGACTGCTAACTTTGCGAGAGCATAATTCCGTAAGTTTTCCATCAAATTTCATACTTTTGGTGTCATTATCATCGGGAAAAGATTCTCTAACATTTCATAAGAAAAGATATTTTTTTTTTTTTCCGAAAAATTTTCGACCCTGAGAACGAGTTTAGGAGAGGGCCTCTCGACCCTGAAAGGGTTAAAATACATGGACAAGCAAATTTTCCTATTTTCTGCAATTTCAGGATTCATGTCAGCTCTAGGAACCTAACCCCCTATGAATTATATGGCTGTACTGCATTAAATGTATCCCTGTAAATTTGGAAGGCTGATAGGGACATGAAATTTCATTATGAGAACTGCAAATATTTACTAGTATATTCATCACATCTCTTTATCACTTCTTTAATGACCTTTTCTTATGACTTGCATATATAACCCTAATACAGTACAGTGAATAACAAAAAAAGGCACAATACCGTGACTGGAACGATACACAAATAACCCGCACATAGAAGAGAGGAGCTTACGACGACGTTTTGGTCCGACTTGGACCATTTACAATGTCACACTAACCAGAAGTGGAGCAGGACGGCTATATAGGCAGGAAGAGGTAGTGGTGGTAGTAGTAATAGTAGTAGTGGTAGTAGTAGTAGTAGTGGTAGTAGTGGGGAACTAAGGAGGAGCCAGTCAAATATATAGAAAGGGGAGGACTGCAAGGGAGCTAGGTGCCCATAGAGGGAGAGCAAGTGCACAGAGGTGGGGAGAAGGGGAAGTGATGAAATAAATAATGAAGGAACAGAAACACGCGACAGAAGAAAGACAAAAAAGGAAAGAGGAAAGGGGAAGAGGGAGAAGAAGAAAAAATGAGGAATCAGGTTAAGTCACGGGTGTTCTGAAGTTTGGAGCATTTTACAAAGTAGTGGGAGAGGAAGGCATCTACAGAGACGAAGCCAGGACTAAGATTCATACAAGGAAAGTTGTGTATTAGAGAGGATTCAACAAGACGGCGACTGTTAAAGTTGGAAGTAGGGAAGACAGTTTTAGCAGAAGACCAGTCTATAGGATGGCTGTGATCTCTGATGTGACAGAAAAGAGCATTGTTAGTGTCGGCAAGCCTAACACTATTTTTGTGCTCCCTAAGTCTGTCAGAAAGAGATCGGCCAGTTTCTCCAAAGTATTGAAGAGTACAGGAGGAGCAAGAAATAGAGTAGACACCAGAAACATCTGTAGAGGGAGGAGAGGTATGAACGAGATTAGTGCGAGGAGTGTTAGTCTGGCGGAAAGTAAGCTTGATGTCTAAGGGACTCTGCCTTCTCACGAGCTAAACGTAATTTCTTCTCTCCCAAACTCTCTACTCCTGGGAACTCTCCTGTCCTCTGCCTTCCCTACATTTCCGGTCTTTCTAATCTCAACAATTCTCTCCGTCCCTTAGACATCGAGCTTACTTTCCGCCAGACTAACACTCTTCGCACTAATCTCGTTCATACCTCTCCTCCCTCTACAGATGTTCCTGGTGTCTACTCTATTTCTTGCTCCTCCTGTCCTCTTCAATACTTTGGAGAAACTGGTCAATCTCTTTTTGACAAACTTAGGGAGTACAATGCTCTTTTCTGTCACGTCAGAGATCACAGCCATCCTATAGATTGGTCTTCTGCTAAAACTGTCTTCCCTACTTCCAACTTTAACAGTCGCCGTCTTGTTGAATCCTCTCTAATACACAACTTTCCTTGTATGAATCTTAGTCCTGGCTTTGTCTCTGTAGATGCCTTCCTCTCCCACTACATTGTAAAATGCCCCAAACTTCAGAACACCCGTGACTTAACCTAATTCCTCATTTTTTCTTTCTCTCCCTCTTCCTCTTTCCTTTTTTGTCTTTCTTTTGTTGCGTGTTTGTTCCTTCATTATTTATTTCATCACTTCCCCTTCCCCCCACCTCTGTGCACTTGCTCTCCCTCTGTGGGCACCTAGCTCCCTTGCAGTGCTCCCCTTTCTTTATATTTGACTGGCTCCTCCTCCTCAGTTTCCTCCTCCTGCCGCTGCTGCTGCTGCTGCTGCTGCTGCTGCCACCGCCGAAGCCGCCGCCGAAGCCGCCGCCGCCGCTGCCGCCGCCGCATATAGCCGTCCTGCTCCGCTTCTGGTTAGCATGACTTTGTAAATGGTCCAAACCGGACTGAAACATCGTCGTAAGCTCCTCTCTTCTATGTGCGGGTTATTTGTGTACAGTACAGTGCACTGTATTTATTTAACATTTATTGTTGAGAGCTGGTTAATAGACATGTTACTTTATATATTTGACCTAACTCAAAATGGGGAGTATAAATTTAAATTTCTTGACTGCTACTTTTAACGGTATTTAAGAAATAGAGCACTCTTAACCCTTTGACTGTCGAAGGGCCAAATCCTGAAGTTGCTTCTGGTGTCGCAAAATATTCGAAAAAAAAAAAATTATTTTTTCTTATGAAATGATAGAGAATCTTTTCCCGATTGTAAAGACACCAAAAAAACG